CCCAAGGACCGATGCAGCACTCATGGATGCAGGGCTTTTCCGTAGGACCCATCCATGAGTGTCCCCATCTCTGAGTGCCCATAAAGGTCCCGTGAGTCTTTCCCAGGGGGAAACACAGGCTTCAGTTATTGCTTTTTTCATAAGAGCTGACCCAAGCTGGCTGGCCAATCCCTCCTTGAAAAATACAGCGTTGAAGCCCATCATTCTGGACACAAAAGGCTGCAATGGAAAACAAGCGTTCACCCTGCTCTGGTTTCTTCCCTTCCTCGCACACAGTCCCCCCTCGCTCTGCTTTCCCGGCTGTCAGTGGCCATCAGCTAACACGGAACGAGATATTCATGCAAAAGGCCTCTGGAAATACTCATTGCTCATCTCTTAACAAGATTACCCCTGAGATCCTCCACTGCTCCGAGGGAGATCCAAAGCCTTTCAGGCTCCCGGTAACCATAGCAGCGCAGATGTGAAAAACCAAGGGGCGACAACTGACGTGAAGAATCACTGGGGCCGTACGGAGAAGTGCCGTGCGGCTGCAGTGCCGGGGCAGGGGAGCTCCTCCTCCGCGGCGCGTCTCTCCGTCCCACACCGCTCCTCGCCCCGGCCACACCACGCAGGACACGTCGGCTCTTTGCAGAAATGACTCAGACGGCCGGCAGCGGTGGTGATGCAACCCGGTGCTGGCTCCCGCGGCACCAGGGTCACCTTCCCGGCCACAGTCTGGGGAACCCCCCACAGACGGCGTTTCGCAGGCTGTCCCCAGTCCCAGCAGGGTGCCGGCAATAGGAGGGATGGCTTAGAGCCAGGATGGGCTGTCTGGAGTCCACGGTCCCGTTCCATCCTGCCACGGGTTCCTCCTTCACCTTAGGAACCACTTCTGCACCTGTAAGAGAGACGCTGGGTGTTGTGAGGTTGAACAGATCGATGTTTTGAGGCCCTTTGGAATGAAATACTGGGAAAGCCAGCAGCAGTGAGGGCACTTCCCAGGCCCCCGGCACCTCCCGAGAGCTGGCCGAGCCCTGCGGAGCTTCGCCGCAGCCAGCTGGGAGGCACCGCAGGAAACCCTTTCATCTCCTCTCTCAAAAACCCCTGTCACTGTGTCTGTCTGAGCACAAAGAAGCATTAACCAAATTCTTTTCAAACTAAAAAAAAGTATTTTTTCTCTTTAAACAGCTTCCCAAACTGTGGTGAGATTACATAGACTCATAGAACAGTTTGGGTTGGAAGGGACCTTTCAAGGCCATCTAGCCCAGTCCCCTGCCATGAGCAGGGACATCTCCAACTGGATCAGGTTGCTCAGAGCCCCATCCAACCCGACCATCAGTGTTTCCAGGGACAGGGCATCTCCCACCTCTCTGGCCAACCTGTGCCAGGGCCTCAGCACCCTCTTTGCAAAAAATTTCTTCCTTGTACCCAGTCTAAATCTCCCCTCATTTAGTCTAAAGCCATCACCCCTTGTCCTCTCGCTACAGGCCCTGATAAAAACTCTGTCCCCATCTTTCTTGTAAGCCCCCTTTAAGTACTGGAAGGCCGCCGTAAGCTCTCCCCGCAGCCTTCTCCTCCCCCGCCAGAGCCGGACGCAGGACTCCCGGGGGGTCTCAGCAGAGCGGGGCAGAGGGGCAGAACCCCCTCCCTCGCCCTGTGCCCACGCTGCTGGGGATGCAGCCCAGGGCACGGTTGGCCTCCGGGGCTGCCAGCGCACACTGCCGGGTTGTGCTGAGCTTCTGGTCAGCCAGCACCCCCAGGTCCTTCTTGGCAGGGCTGCTCTCAATCCGTTCTCCACGCAGCCTGGGTTTGTGCTTGGCATTGCCCCGACCCATGCGCAGGACCTTGCTCTTGGCCTTGTTGAACCTCACAAGGTTCACACAGGCCCACTTCTCAAGCCTGCCCAGGTCCCTCTGGACGGCATCCCTTCTTCCCTCCAGTGTGTCGACCGCACCACCCAGCTTGGTGTCACCCACAAACTTGCTGAGGGTGCACTCGATCCCGCTGCCCATGGCATTGATGAAGATATTAAACAGTACTGGTTCCAGTACAGACCCTTGAGGGACATCTCTTGTCACTGATCTCCATCTGGACATTGAGCTGTTGACCGCTACACTCTGGATGCAACCATCCAAGCAAGTCCTCAGCCACCAAACAGTCCACCCATCAAATCCTCATCTCTCCAATTTAGAGAGAAGGATGTTGTTGGGGATGGTGTCAAAGGCCTTACAGAAGTCCAGACAGATGACATCTGTAGTCTTGTCATGCCCTGCTTCCTTGCCATCTTCGGTTCTTCATTTCCACTGATGTTGATGGCATGCCGGGCACCAAAATGTGATCACTGCTTCATTCATGTGCCTAAACCTAGCACCCTCTTCTCATCGACCCCTTCTCCTGCCTTTTCGCCTGCCGAGGTCCTATGGCTGTGCCATCACATCTTCTGCATCCTCAGCTCCTTCTGACTCCTGCAGCTCAGTACTTGGCATCGCCTTTGGGCTCTCCTCATGGCACAGTGAGTCTCTCCAGAAAGAGTTTCATGTTGGTGCATCACCAGATGGTATAAAACCCCACATGGTGGGTATTTTTGGATGCCAGCTCCATCACCAGTCCTGTTTGGGACCCAACCTTCCCCTTCTCCCAGGGCAGCCTGAGCCGAGGACAGGACTCTGGTCACCCCGACGCAATCTCTTGGCTCTCCTGATCATGAGATCAGACAGGGAAAGCTCTTTGCATGGCTAAAAGGTAACGGTAATTGGGGAATTAAGAGGCAGGAAGAACTCTTGTGAAAAGGGCTTTTGAAATCAGCAGAATAAACTCAGCCAGGACTAAATGCTGAAACGGGTACTTCGCCATGGAAAGAAAGCCAACTGCAGTAAAACTGCAAGAACTAGTCCAAAGCTAGAAAAAACCACTCATGCACAAATTTAGGATAAAGACTTATTTTAACTTTTGAGCAAGTTCCCTTGGCATAAATCAGCTTCTGAAACAACTCTAGCACGAAATAGGGAAAGTGACTGCCGAGGAAACACACCCAGACGGGGCACCCTGCACCTCTACGAGCAAACGCGCTTCCAGAGGCGATGCCCATCCACGCGGAGACGGGGAGCGACACACACCCCGCCTGTCTGCCCGATAAATCAACCAACCGTTCTGGGTCATGGTTTTGCTGAAGCTGGGTCATGGCCAGCGTTCCTACCCGCCACCGCTCAGCTTCTGCTCATGGAGATTGCGATGCATCATATGCGTCATTTTCAGGGAGATGTTATTTACCCCTCAGGTTAAATATTTCATAAAATCACAGAATAACTGACAGCCGAACGTGGAGGATATGACACGCAGGCTTCAGGGAAATCTTCTTTTCCCCCTCAGGTCAAATATTTCATAGGCTCATGTAAGAGCTGGGCACGGTTGCAGCAACCCTGACTGCAAACAAGTCCCCAGCCCCAGATAAGGGCAAGAAAGGCTGCGGGTGACAGCGGCCAGCCCCTGCCATGCCTGGCCATCAGCCACCCCATGGGTGGGGGACCCCTGCCAAGCTCCCCTGCTGCCAGCGAGCCCACGCCAAGAAACACACGTTCAGCTCCAGGGAGGACAAAAGGGCAGGACAGCTCACGCAGCGCGATGGCTGCGATGCTGCCGGCTCCCCGGCGCTACCGGCAGCGGCGGGTGATGCAACCGCAATGTGCAACGTAGCGCGGTGCTCTCCAGGGCTGGAGTGGCTTTCCAGCGCTGAGCTCCGCGGATTGGCCCGGAGCACCCTGCTCTCCTCCCTCCCTGCCCTCCCTCCTTCAGCCCCCTCCACCCACGGAGATTGGACAGCTTGGTGCCACATGGCAGAGAGGAACCAGGATAAAAGATGAGCTGGATGTGGGGACTGTAGCATGCGCGGCAGAACAGCCGGGAGACGTTTGCAGGGAGGTGACACCAAGCTTCCCTGGCTGCACTGAGCCGGCGCAGGGGAGGACGGACAGACGGAGGGACACCGTGACTGCAGCCACCCAGGGACACCTGTGAGTTGGGTGCCAGCTGAGGAACACTCTGTCCCCTCTGTGCCCGGCCATGTCGCTGGCGGTGAAGGAGAAGAACCACGTGCGGTTGGTCTTCTTGGGCGCCGCCGGCGTGGGCAAGACAGCCCTCATCCACCGCTTCCTGATGGACACCTTCGAGCCCAAGCACCGGCGCACGGTGGAGGAGCTGCACAGCAAGGAGTACGAGGTGAGCGGGGCCACAGTCAAGGTGGAAATCCTGGACACGAGTGGCAGCTATTCCTTCCCGGCCATGAGGAAGCTCTCGATCCAGAACAGCGATGCCTTCGCCCTGGTCTATGCTGTAGATGACGCCGAGTCCTTTGAAAGCGTCAAGAGCTTGCGGGAGGAGATCCTGGAGGTGAAGGAGGACAAGTTCCCTCCCATCGTGGTGGTCGGCAACAAGGCGGAGATCGGTGGTGAGCGGCAGGTGCCGGCGGAGGATGCCCTGTCGCTGGTGGAGCTGGACTGGAACAGCCGCTTCGTGGAGACGTCGGCCAAGGACAACGAGAACGTCCTGGAGGTCTTCAGGGAGCTGCTGCAGCAAGCCAAACTGCCCCGCCGGCT